AGCTGTAATTACATGGTGGTATTTAAAAAATATAAGTACAATGTAAAAACATGTATGTACACAATAAGTCCATTGTATCAAATTATTAATTTCAATGTAAGTACATAGTACTTAAAGCCACTTAATATAAAGTGGGACCCTTATAGACAGTATATTTGATTGTGCTAAAGTGCAACTATTGCAAGTATACTTGATGTACACTTTAAATTTCTTGCATTTAAAGAATGATTTATACAGTGATCATACTATTCTTACTTATAATGATATTACAACAGGCTACATTTTAGGCTAAATAAAAAAAATGTGCATTTTGCAATAAAGAAGTACTTCAAATAAATTGTAATTATAATATTAATATCAGTAAGTCTCAAGCGATATGTCAGTAAATATGTTAATGGATTTGTAGTATACTTATAGTATGAAATAAACGTATTTTAAATACATTTTGGTATACATTTTTTCCACTTGCCTTAACACACCTGCCTGGAAGTCCAAGTCACAACGCGGATCCACAACAGAACCGGAAGACAATACAATGCTGAATAAAGTCGTAGTTTTTGTTATTTTTGGACCAAAATGTATTTTCGATGCTTCAAAACACTCTAACTAACCCACTGATGTCACATGGACTATCTTAAACTGTGTTCTGAAGATAAACAAGGTCATTTTTGGGTGAACTAACCCTTTAACAACATGCTTTTCTGTAAAGCTGCTTTGGAACAATGTGTTTTATGAAAAGCGCTACACAAATAAATTGGACTTGACATACTCGACATTCACACAGTTGAAAATAAACATACAATCGAGTCAGTTTGGCAGCTTGGTTTAAATAAAAGCTGTTTTTGGACTAACAAGGATGTTTTGAGTTCTGTCTTAGTACAATGAGCTCTTATATGTCTAAAGATCAGGGAACCTTTGTAACCGCTGCGCTGTGGATTATTTTGCTATTAAAAACGCAACATTATCCTCCTCAGAACAAACAGTCTATTGCAATGTGTGTCTTGACCATGCATCTTCTGTGTTTACTGCAGTGGTGTGCAAAAAGAATCTGGACAGTACAACAGTAGCTGTGCATCAGGACGAGATCTACTGCAAGTCCTGCTACGGCAAGAAATACGGCCCAAAAGGGTATGGCTTTGGTGGAGGAGCGGGAACTCTCAGCATGGACACGGGCGAAGCTCTGGGAATCAAACCGGCTGGGTTAGGAAGAGTGTTTCAATGAAAGCACCCTATTTGTGTCTTTAGCAATGTGCATTAAAGTAGCTGGTGTGTATTTGTCTCACAGTCAAACATCCCATCATCCGACCAACAACCCCAACCCGTCAAAGTTCGCGCAGAAGCTTGGCGGTTCGGATGTGTGTCCTCGCTGTGGAAACGCCGTGTACGCGGCAGAGAAGGTGGTTGGAGGAGGAAATGTGAGTCGGTTTTTCTTGATCTGACTTGCTGAGATACAGTCATTTTGCCCTGGGACAAATGCCTTACCAAACTTGTCAACCGAAACCTCATCTGGGAGATTTCCTTGATGTGATGTATTCATTTGAAAAAAGTCTTGATTGTTTTGGCTCGGTTGCTAAAATAAGTCTTATTATCGACTACAATAAAAATCCAATTCAAACATAATACCATGTCCTGACCTGCCCTCAAATAATGCCGCAGTGCAAACGGACAAAATCACAGTCAATCTGAACATGTTTGATGTTTTAAGTACAGCCACTCAGCACGACAAAACAAAAAAGAAATTATTTGAGAAAAATTTACCAACTGAAACCAATCGTACTTGTTATGCGTGTCCTCCTTTAGTCTTGGCATAAGAGCTGCTTCAGATGTGCAAAGTGTGGAAAGAGTCTGGAATCCACCACTGTAGCAGATAAAGATGGAGAGATTTACTGTAAAGGTCAGTATCAAACATCATGCATACACAGGTGAAACTCGAAAAATTAGAATATCGTGCAAAAGTTCATGTATTTCGGTAATTCAAATAGGTGAAACTAATATATTTAGTATATATATAACTATATACATATGCATGATTTTACATTTCTGCATTTAAAATCATTTTTTTTATTGATTTCATGTAATATTCAAATTTTTCATAAGCTGTAAGCCATAATCATCAAAATTATAACTTTTGCAGGATATTCTAATTTTTCGAGTTTCACCTGTACAGTTGATATTTATAATAACATTGTCTATTATTTATTATAACATATATAACACTTAATATTTATAACATTATCATTATAACATTACTTATTTGAATAATATTTATATTTATATAGGGTGCTATGCTAAGAACTTTGGACCGAAGGGCTTTGGGTTTGGACAGGGAGCTGGTGCTCTGGCTCACGCTCAATAGAAACACACCTGACATCGGTGAACCCAGGAGCTCAAACTAGTCACTTAACCACCTACAAACACCTCTAATAAATGTTATACACACATAAGTGCCAATTTCGGTGCTCAGTATGTACTAAATCCAATAAACGGGGTTTCAAAGGAAATCCAAGACTGTATATCAACTGACATTTTTTGCTATAATAAAACTGGGTTGTTTTTCCATGTACTTGGATTTATGCGTTTTATTTTTTTTATAAATTCAAAATAAATAGTTAAAGCAATTCTCTGACTGGGCTATGCCATATGCAATGCATTATGCTTTTGAAAAATATAATAACTAAGAATGCATGAATGTAATTATAATTTAACCAAACATGTTTGTAAACAGAAAGCGGGACACAGAAAGCATTGAATACTCGGATGATTCGCTTGTTTTCTCCATGACATCATACACACATAAAAACCCAAGTGTGATGAGGAACAAAGCGTGTTTATGTCTCTGAGCCTGTCACGGGCCCGATCTAATGAGACGATGCCTCAAAGACAGCAGACCACAGACTGACGGGATAAGACCATCAGAGAGATTGTAATGCTTTCATCTAGAGACTAATTCAGAATTAAACAATGGAAATGAATAAACAAAACTGGTCTCAGAGCAGCTGCCGGGGGAAACAAACATCCACAGAAGGACATTCCCACCAAAGTTGCCAGAGGCAAAAACACAAGCATGCTACGAATGGTAAACTAGTGTACTGCCCAGTATATACTACAGTGCCTACTATTATATTTCAGAAATAGTATGTGAAGCAATATATATTAATAAACATTTCAAATAGTAGTATATGCTACATTCTTGTCACACACAAACAGTTTTTTTTTTTTTTTTTTTTGAGCATTCACATATTTTTTTGTGTAAAAATGCCAATGTTAGCAGTTCAGTTAAAAAATGCATCAGAGAGATAGGTTGGTAACGCTTCCTTTTACAGTCCTGTTACCCATATACTTACTATGTACTTATTATAGTAATTATAATTACTGGGTAATAACTAGGTACTAACCCTGAACAAACCTACCCCTAACCCATGTACTTACCTTATATTAGCCAGTATTTTCTAGGTAAGTACACGTAAGTACTGTACTGTAAAAGGAAGCGTTACCGATATGTTAATCAAAAAGTTGATATTGCTTTAAATGTGCATGCATTACTGGAGTGAAGGACTTTTATTAGACACAAACACTCTTGCTCACTGAGGATGGAAGTATAAAACTATCACCAGAGGGCGCCAAATCTTATTATAGTTCCAACACAGAAAACAATTGTAAATTTTTTGTGGCATGATGAATTGAATGTATATTTTAGTTTGAAACAGTATAGCTAAAAGTTCCTTCACTCTCTACACACAGTAAGTCTATAGTGTGAGTCTGGCCTGTTTATAAAAAGCAGGTGATAATTGGCTGTCTGGAGGTCTGAATATTTTTAACAGACCCACATGGAAGATTTCACTACAGTAGGGGGACCGGGGCTAGTTGTCACACGGGGAAGGTCTATATGGCAGTAAAAATTAGATTTTGAGACAGGTTTATTTTGTCCCACATTAGTTTTGCATGTTGCTTCCAAACACAATTCAAAATGCATACATTTTGTGAATTATGTCCTTTAAACTAATATATTTGTGTAGCTGGTTGGGTTAAATAAACACATTCATATCAAGTATTTTATATGATTTTGAGCAATATTTTCAATAAATATTGTAAATTGTAAACATTTTTTATTATATTTTGATGTTTTTATAAAAATAATTACATAATTGGATTATCAAAATGTATAATTAATTACTGCATGTAATTTAATTACTTTTTTCTTTTTTCTTTTAATTACATTAAATACTGCATAGACTAGAACAACTCTATATATAAAAAAAAGTGGATTTAACATCAAAATGTAACATCTAATGTTAAAGATTTATGTTTTTAATGTAACTTTATGGCTGCACACATTTTGGTCACTGCAAGAATAATTTATGCAATTTAATATTTTTATTTGAAAGTATTAAAAGAGGAGTTGTGTCCTTGTATTGTTCAACTGGTTGAAGTTGATATGGGATTCATTAAGTAATTTGTAATAAGTAATGCAATACTTTTTAGAGAGAGTAATTAATACAGTAATCTAATTACACTGTTGAAGATCTACTTTTTTAGAGTAACTTACCCATATATATATTTTTTAATATATTAAATAGTATTCATATTTCAAGGTTTTCAAAGTGAAATATGATCAATAAAGCCAATGCTTCAATATTTGTGCCTATACAAAAACTGACTTATAAAGAAACCCACTCTGAAAAATGAAAAAAGCATAACAACTAGCCTTACTATAGCGCAAAAAAAATAAGAACCAGCAGAGATAAGGAGGAGACAAGCACACATTTATTGCTGCAAAATCCTCGCCAGCTCTAACGCGACTGACCAGCAGCATCGCTAGTTACGCATGTAACTGTGGTTCTGTGAATTCTGGATGACCGCCAGAGGCAGTGTAAACACTATGGATTATCGCAGCGCCAGCTAGATAGGTCGAGAGAATATACCAACAAAGTCACGTGGCGTGACGTATGCTGAGCCCTGGAGGGTAAAGCTACAGTAGCTCAGCACTCTACCTCGGTACGCCTTTCTCGCGCATTCCGAGTGACAGAGAACTCTGGCGGTCATCCAGAATTCACAGAACCACAGTTACATGCGTAACTAGCGTTCTGTTTCATTCTTACTGACCGCCAGAGGCAGTGTAAACACTATGGATGACACATACCAACATAGTCATGAGGAATGCCACCCACCTGATGAAATTAAGGCTGTTCCAGAAGAACCGCAGAACTAACGGCATGATGAGCAGCAACGTTGACCTTATAAAACCGGGCAAACGTGCATGGAGAAGCCCAGGTAGCAGCAGTGCAGATATCCACCAGGGAAACTCCTCTAAAAACAGCCCATGAAGATGAAATGGCCCTAGTGGAATGGCAAGTTAGTCTCCAGGGCAGTGGTCTCCCTGCCGCCTTGTAAGCCAGCGTAATGGTCTCCACTATCCAGTTCGACAACCTCTGTTTCGACACTGGAGCACCTTTCTTCACACCACCATGGCAGACAAATAACTGGTCTGACCGTCTAAATTGAACAGTAGAGTTCACATAACACTTCAAGGCCCGAACAGGACACAAGAGTTGGGCACTTGAATCGGACCCTGAAGAAGTCTGAAAGGAGGCCAGTTCAATATGCTGATTTATGAACTGAGGAAGAAGGACCTTCGGAAGAAAAGAAGGATTGGGTCGTAGAACCACCCCGGAGCCATCCGGTAACCAACGCAAGCACAGTTCACTAACAGACAACGCGTGCAACTCACTGACTCGTTTCGCAGTAGCAATAGCTAACAAAAAAGAAGTCTTCAAGGACAACCATTTAATGTCAACATTTTGCAAGGGCTCAAACTGGGGTGAGCACAGGAATGCAAGTACGAGTGACAAATCCCACACAGGAAAATGAGGATTCCGAGCAGGGTTCAGACGGCGTGCGCCCTTCAGAAAACTGCAGACAAGACGGTGAGAGCCAAGAGAAGAGCCACCAACTGGAACATGATATGCAGAAATTGCAGCAACGTACACTTTCAACGTGGAAGCTGCTTTTCCTTCCTCCAGTAAACGTTGAAGAAAACTTAAGACACGCGGAATGTCGCATGTTGCAGGATCGAGCCCCCGTTCCTTACACCATGCAGAAAAAAGCTTCCAACGGGAAGCATAAATCTGTCGTGTGGAAGAAGCCCTAGCATTAGAGATTGTGTGAATAACAGCAGGGTCACAATGCTCCAGGGAAGGATTTAACCCAATGGCCAGACCCAAAGCTGCAGACGAGCCGGGTCCGGGTGCCAGACACTGGCCTCCAACTGGGAGAGGAGGTCCTTCCTGGGGGGAAGCTTCCATGGATTGCCTGTCAGAAGTCTCAGCAACAAAGGAAACCACGGTCTGGCTGGCCATCGTGGTGCCACGAGTAACACTCTGTGCTTGCACAGGGAGATCCTGTGCAACGTCTCCCATAACAGAGGGGTAGGTGGAAACGCATAAAGCAGGCAGTTCGGCCATTCGTGAGACAGCGCATCCTGGCCCAGGGGGCTCGACACTTCTGTCCTTGCGAACCATAAGCGACAGTGGGTGGTCATCTCTGAAGCAAAAAGATCCACCTCTGCTCTTCCAAATCGTAGCCAGATCTCCTGCACTACATCTGGATGAAGCCTCCATTCTCCTGGATGTACTTGATCCCTGGAAAGAGCATCTGCTGTCTGGTTGCACACTCCTGGAATATGAGCTGCCCTCAGTGAAGCGAGTCGTGGCTGACACCATGTCAGGATCTCGTGAGTCAACCATAGAGACCTGCGGGATCTCGTGCCGCCCTGGTGGTTCAGATGGAACACTGTTGAGGTATTGTCTGACCGAACAAGAACATGGCGGCCTGCCAGAACCGGCATGAAGTACTTTAGAGCCAAGAACACTGCCCTGAGTTCTAGCAGGTTGATATGTTCCGCGGCCTGGATCGGAGTCCAGCGCCCGGAAATACCCCTCCGATTCCACGTTGCCCCCCATCCTGTGAGGGAAGCGTCTGTCGTGACCAACTCCCGACGAGAGGGAACAACACCCAGGGGCACTCCTGCCTTCAGAAACTCTAACTGTCTCCACCGCCTCAACGCACATATGCAACGGTGAGAAATTATAACCAGTTGATGACGATGTCTGGTGGGATCTAGCCGCAAACTGTTGTTCCATAACTGGAGTGGTCTGAGATGGAGTAAACCCAGGGGGATCACAACTGTAGCCGCTGTTAACATCCCTATCAGTCGTAGGACCACCTCGTACTGCAAAGACACACCCGGACGAAAGCGAGCCAAAAGTTGTAGAATGTTTGTCACACGTTCCTGAGATAGGGAGGCAGACATTAGGCAGGAATTCAGGGTCATTCCTATGAACGTAGTGGTCTGTGATGGAATCAAACGGCTCTTTTTCTTGTTCACAGAAAACCCCAGCTTCTGCACATGTCTCAAGAGCAGTCTGGAGTCTTGTACGGCCTGCTGCTCTGTGGGGGCACAGAGAAGCCAGTCGTCCAAATAAGGAAGAATACGGATACCTC